TTCAGACAGGAATTGGACTGGACTGTGGGACATAAAATGATACTTGTGAGGAGTGTGCCTCTTAGCTCAAGTAGATACAAGAGACTAAATGGGCAGCTCCTGTCTGGAGGTGAGATGGGAAGGCAGAGAGGGTTAGGAGTTGGTTGAATGGACATGGGGAATCAGGGGTGGAAAGGAGGAGTGTGCTGTCACAGAATGGGGAGAGCAATTAGAGTCATATAACAATGTATGTATAAATTTTTCTATGGGAAAAAATTAAGAAAGTATAAAAAAATTTTTTTGAGACACTGCCAGACTGTTTTCTAAAGTAGTTGCACCATTTTATATTCCCAACAGCAGTGTATGAGGGAGATGGCATAGTTTTACATTTCTGTAATTCTCCTTAATGTCTGGCTTACCAGAAGACAGCTGGATTCTCATACCTGCTTCTGCATGTAATCTGTTGCAACAGATTGTTTTGGTTAAAGTATATGAAAAAAATCCAGACTTACACAGATATGTGGTTGGAAAAAGGAGGAGTATTTTAACAACCATTTCAGTAGTTGTGTAATATTCTTCTTTGACACTATACCAAAACTTGACCAGTGGTAGTTTCTTAAAGGTTAGTTACCAAGTTGAGGTTTTTGTACTCTGTTTTACATCAAAATGCAATCAATGAACAGAAAAAGGATATCAGTGGAAAAACTGGTATATCTGAATAAAGTCTGTAGTTTGTTAATATTATAGTAACATACCAATAACAATTTCTGAGTTTTGATAAATGTACCATGATTAAGTAGGATGCTAATACTGGGAGTAGCAGGGTGAAGGGTATACAGGAACTCTTTGTACTATTTTTGCATCTTTTCTGTAAATCTAAATTAATTCAAAATATAAAATTAAATCCAATCTGTTAGTCTATCTTATTCTTTGAGTGGATCTTTTGCCCACACGATTGTACAGCCTCACCCAATGGACATGGGACAAAAGTGGTTCACTGAGTTACGCAGATGTGCCAAATGCTGACACATTTCATTATATAACATCTGAAAAATCACAGTTGTTAATACCATCACTGATATCACCAAAAAAGATTTTAGGAATTGGGAGGCTGTTAAGCTTACAGTGACAGATCCAAGTGTTCCAAAATTCTGATTTCTGCTTGAAAGCTCAAATTTTATTGATCATGTGCAGCAAAAACTACCAATTGTTTTTTTTTTTTAATTTTTTTTTTTTAATTGTACTTCAGGTGAAGTCTTACAGAACAAACAATTTCTCATGAAACAGAAGTACACATGTTGTTTTATACATATCAACCCTCTCACTTCTCAACCTCTTTTTTTTTTGGTGAAAATACACATAGCCAAAGATACACCATTTCAAAAATTTCTACATGCACAGTTCAGTGACATTGACTACACTCTTCCAATTGTGCCGTTACTCTCACTTAAGATGAAGGCTTACAGAACAAAATAGTTTCTCATTTAACAGTTATTACAAATGTTGCCCTATGACAATAGTTAACAATCTCACAACACATCAACAATATCCTTACTCAACCAATTGTTTTTCTTGTAGTGACAGGCTCACTTTGTTCATTTTCAAAAAAACAGCTCCCAGATACCCAAGTCTGTATATCCAGTTTGTCTATAAGTCCTTCTTTCAAGTAAAAATGGTGCATCTTGGAAAAGACAGTGCAAATGGTTAACATACTCGGCTGCTAACCGAAAGGTTGGTGGTTGAAGTCTACCCAGGGGCACCTTGGAAGAATGGCCTGGTGATCTACTGCTGGAAAAATCAGCCATTGAAAACCGCATGGAGCACAATTCTACTCTAATACACAAGGGGTTGCCATGAGTTCGAATCAACACAACAGCACCTGGTTTTTAGTTAACAACTCAATCATACAAGTACTTTTCCTCAAGACAAACTTTGCACTTCACTATGGAGCAGAAGTGCTTTATGTATACTTCCCATTTCATCACATAGAATATTAAAAAGATATGTACTCAGGTTGAGATATAATAAAATTAACAGTTTTCCCTTCTTTTCCCTTCTTCAAGGACATTCTTAAGCAAAACTGGCTTTCCCCCCTGATTTTGAGCGTCTGGTGGTAAACACTGCAATGACTGTCCATTCTGGGGCCTATGCCTTGGTTGGGTTAAGGCGCCAGCAACTCCATTGCTCTTTTAACTTCAGTGCAAATGTCAACACAGCGGAAAAGGCAAATACCACCACAGTATTATTAGGAAAATAATTTTGACCTCATGTCCCCCCTGAAACAGTCTTAGGGACCCCAGGGTGTGCAAATGGCATTTTGAGAACTGCTGCTCTACTAGAATGTGAAGCTTCTTAAAGGCACAGATTTATTTGTTCATTGTTTGTTCACTGCTGACTCCCCTGTGCCTAGAACAATGCCTGGCACATAGTAGGTACTCAATAAATATTTACTGAATGACTGAATGAATGGATAAATGAATGTGATAACATCTGTAATTATTTTCAGCTACTTGCAAGCAAAGCCATAAAAAATCCAGGTTATTTGTAGTTTTTGGTATGACTTTAAATTATACAGAATGCTAAACATTTAATCAAGAAATGAAAAAAATTATTTCTTTTGGCAAAGGCATTTATCTGGGAGAATGGCAAAAGTAGCAGGGAACTTTCAAAACCATACCAACAGTATCTGCATTGGAAAGCAACAGCTTTTAGCAAAGGAAATGATTCCTGAAAACGGCAACTGCCTATGACCTAGAATTGGGCTGCAAAATCAGGAAAGGTGGAAAAGGTACTGAAAGTTTCCCCTTTCACATCGTCCCACGCTTGTTTTGCAACTGTTGTGTCTGGGAATGGTTCACAGATTTGGGAGGAATTATGCACAAAGACGAACAGGAAATTAGAACACAAACAGGGACACATAGGAATTCATAAGGAGTAATTAAAATGTTTTAAGTTTTGAGGACTAAATGAAGATAATGTATTTATCCTAGAAAAAGACCTGAAGGCCACAGTGTGTACGATTTCACATACTGCGATGATACAGCTGTGGATTTTCATGAGGCTACAGTATTAGGACCATAAACTGCTGCAGAACAGGCGATCTAGCTAGTCAAATATGCTGGTTAATAGGGAGTTACCATAGGGCTCACTATTTTTCAGTGAATGAGATGTCAATAAATACACCATTTTAAGCTGAAGAATTCAGTCATTATTTAGTTACTCCAGAGGCACTGCAGAATCTCACTAAGCTCCAGGGAGTCACCATTAGAAAGGATTTATCAGTTAAAGAAGGTCTAATCACAGAGTTTAATGAAGAAACAATTACCCACTCTTTAGTTTCTCGTCCCAGTTTTGTGCTGCTTGGTAATTAGCGGTAAGCATGTAAACTCCTGAACCTTTCTGTAGTTCAGGCTCTCTCTTCTCTTTTCCGGAAATCCAGAAATGCTTAGAGTATTGAAGTATCTTCCCCTTGAAGATACTGAGTTAATTGTAAGGAGTTAAATGTGGGGGTTGCCCAGAAGATAAAATATCCCAGCAAATTTTAAATTGCCGAGTCTGAAGTAATAATCTAAGTTTTGTTCAATCTATAAAAACCTCTGAAGTGTTTCCCTGCGGGGTTTGGAATTTAACCTTACCCAAAGAATCTCTAAAGCCTTGGAATTTCCCTAATGGTTTAAGTGTCCTCAATAAGAACTGCAGATTGGACAGGGTGTGCCGAGAGGCAACTCTGGGGTGGGGGTCTGACCAGGCCAGGGGGACCTACCTCATGATGAAAGCCTCATGGTGGCCAGGCTGGAGAGCCCCACCTCATGATCACCTTGTGATTCTGACTGGCCTCAGGGGAGAGGAGCTGGCGTTTCCATTATGTAATGGCTCTCTACACTATCTCCACGGGCTTCCTGGTTGGTGGAAGACATTGATGCACATGGGGGAGTAGTGTGTCCCTTTTTGAGTCACAGAAGCTCCAGACCTCGCCCTCTGTGTCTCTTCATTCCTATCCTTTTTGCTATAATAAAACCGTGAGTCGTTCCAGCGAGTTATTGAACCAAAGTGAGTAGTGGGAGCCAGCAGTGAGGTCAGAAGTGTGGGGGGCTGGGAATCCCTGGGCTTATGGCTGGTATCTTGAGGGGGTAGAGGGAACCCCAAATGTGTAGCTAGAAGGTCAGAAGTGAGGGAATCTAGGAAACCCTGAGCTTATGGCTGATATTCTGAGGGGGTAGAGGGAACCCCGAATTTGCAGCCAGCAGGTCAGAAGTGAGGGGAGATGGGAACCCTTGGGCTTACAGCTGGTATCCTGAGGGGGTAGAGGGAACCCTGAATTTATAGCCAGCAGATCAAACGTGAGCGGGCCCAAAGGGACCCCTGAGCTCGTAGCTGGCATCCTGAAGGGATACTGGGAAAATCTTGAACTTGTAGCCAGCCAGTCACAAGTGAGGGGAGCACCAGGGACGCCCAAGCTTGCAGCTGGCACCTGAAGTCTTGGGTCGACTTTGCAGTCTGAAGGACAGTGTCCTTCTAACTTGTAAGCTCTGACCTTGCTCCAGAAGGAAGAAGTGCTAAGTGGGTAGCTGGTGTGAGAACTGAACAGAGAAGTGGGAAGTGGAGATTTGTTATTTCCTCAGAGTTGGTGGCAGGGAGAAGGTGGGATTTTGATTTATCGACTCATTCCCCAACCCATGAATCCACCTGGACACAGAAATCCTGAGAATAAGACAGAAACTGACACCAGCCACCTGAGTAATCTCTCTGCAGTTTACAAAGCACTTTAGCATCTGTATCACTTGATCCGCACACCAATCCTGTTAGATAGGCCGGGCAGGAAGAACTATTTCTATTCTTCAGGCAAAGAAACTGAGGTTTCACGAAACTGAGTGCAGAACTGGGACACAGCGGTCTCACGACGTCATCTGTCTGCCCACTACTGCACTTGCTTTGCCGAGTGGAGGAAGAGAGCTGGGCCCCATCAGTGTTTCTGAGCCCGGAGAGAGGAAGTCATCCAGCTTCCCCCCTGCTCAACTCACCTGCAGCTTCACAGCGATGACCACCGAGTTAAGATCTTTGTCCATTTCTTTGAGCATGACGAGCTTCTTCAGGGTCAAGCTGAACAGCCTAGAAAAGTTAAGAGAAAGAATATTCGTCAGGTATAAGAAACTTAAGAGAAAAGCGATAATTTGGAGGGAAAACCCTGCTTTACCTGAAATAAGAATGTTAGAAAGCCATTCTCAGTCCAAACTGTGTCCTCCTTCTGTAAAAGAACATCCCTCTTATTTAACTTTTGTACTTGATAAGTGTCAAGAAGGTACATTATTCCATGAACGTCTGTGGATGCCTGTTTATCTCAAGTCAAAACTAATATGCTTCTCCACTTCTAACATGTGGGAGCAATTTCTGACGGGAGACAGGAGTTGCAGAACAAGGGAGGGCACAGATGTTTGTTTTGCTGACCTCATTTATCTCCTATCTTACAGCCAATCACATCTGAAATGTTTACAGACGTAAATCTTTAGCAGCACAGAGGTCATTCACAGAAACAAAACAGAGACTACAAAACAGGAAATGATTTAAATGGCCACAAATTCAATTTTGGCTGAGTTTTGCCCCAAGTATGCAATAGAATCTTCAGAGCCACAATTAGGAAATTGCTCTTAACTATAAGTAAAAAGATTGTCCCTAGCTCTGGAGTCTTAGCAACTCTAATCTGTCTTGATCTTGGTCTTACCAAGGCAGGCTTACTCTGGACTTCTGGTAGGAGTTGGGAGGGAAACTTTGGATGCTGCCTTTCTGCTTCGGGTTTAAGTGATTAAAGTCTTCAAAACATTCTTCTCCTTGGAGAGGTTCCAGAGAGTGGTGAGACATATGAGCAGAGTCGCTGACCAGGATCAGCAAGGCCTGAGAATCAGGCTCTAAAGAGATTTATGTTTATTTTCTCCTCAGGGCCATAGCTCTCCTGCCCCTGCTTACCACTTCCGTTTTCTGTCTCCCACTCCTTCCTTACACAGTAAACTCCAGCCGTACTGGATTTCTTTAGGTCCTTGGAGGTGCCAGGCTCTCTCACCTCTGGGCCTTCCTATGCTGTTGTTTCTTCTGCTAGTGACATTCCTATCCTCAATGATCTACTGCCTGCTCAGCCTTCAGGTCTTGGGTTGCACGTTTTTGCCAGGAGCACTTCCTGAACACCTCCCAGGGTCTGTGTTGGTTCCCCCCTAACACAGTTGAACGCCTCAAGAGCAAGAATTAAGGTTTCCCAGAGAAGAGGAAATTTTGGCTCAAGACTGCAGCATCAACTTCTGACTTGGTTTCCACCCTGCTGGCCTATACTACAGATTTTGAACTTATCAGCCCCAACAACTGCATAAGCTAATTTCTTAAAGTATATCTACCTGGTGGCACCATAGTTAAGCATTTGGCTGCTAACCGAAAGGTAGGCAGTTCTAACTCACCCAGCTACTCCATAGAAGAAAGACCTGGAGATCTGCTTCTGTAAAAATTACAGCCTAGAAAACCCTATGGGGCAGTTCTACTACGCCACATGGGGTCTCTATGAGTTGGAATCGACTCAATAGCACCTACCAACAACAATCCATCTATCCACATATATATTATATAAATATTTAAGTATATAAAGTATAAAAACCCATTGCCATCGAGTCGATTCCAACTCATAGTGACCCTACAGGACAGAGTAGAACTGCCCCATACGGTTTCCAAGGAGTGGCTAGTGGATACAAACTGTCGAGCTTTTGGTAAGCAGCCAAGTTCTTAACCACTGTGCCACCCGGGCTCCATATATATACATATATATATATATATATATATATCTCCATCGATTCATCTATCGCCTATTGGTTCTTTTTCTCTGGACTACCCTGATTGATATAGGGAGACAGGGGGGTCAGAGTCATAGAAGGAGATGTGATAAATAGAAGCAGAGGTTGAAGTAATGTGATTACTGGCTTGGAAGACAGGGGAAGGGGCCATCAGCCAAGGAATACAGGTGGCCTCCAGAAGCTGGAAAAGGCATGGAAACTGATTCTCCCCTTGACCCTCCAGAAAAAACACAATCCTGCCAACACCTTGATTTTAGACCAGTGAGACCTTTTTCAGACTTCTGACTTTCAGAACTGTAAAATAATAAATGTGTGTTGTTTTAATCCACTGTTTGTAGTGATTTGTTACAGCAGCAATAATAAACTAATCAACTCCTCATTTCAGAACCTGCGCTCTGATTACATTGCTGCCTCCTCAACTACTGACTTGAACTCCCTCACCTGTGTGCTCCTAGAACATGCTCCTCAAGTTTGCTAAACTGGAATCACCTGTGTTTATACTCCCTCCTCCAAAATCTCCCCCATCAATGATGACCTCGTTCCTTCTTTCCCTTCAGAGCAGAGACATGCTGGCCCCAAAGGAACCTTGGTTTTGCGACACCCCAGGGATTATAATATTTCACATAGTTGGCTATTAAGAAATGTAGCTAACTGGACTGTTTCACTTGGATGTTCAAGTCTTGCTCGAAAGGAGAGGGAACATGAAAGAATGAACGAATGGAAAAGACTGGATATGCTCAATCTTCTTCCTCATCTGAGGCTGCTAATTATGAATGCTTCTGATGGGTTAGGTTTTTGTTTCCAAAGCAAACATTTTCCATCTTCAGACTGAACTGCTGGTGCTGAATAAACCAGGGCTTTTAACTGGGTTTGGTCTGGTTCAATCCTTTGCTGAGAATTTACATTTCCACTCCAGATATACTGAATCAGAATCTACAGTTTAACAAGACCCCCAGGTAATTATTATGTTTACTTGGGACTTTTCAATCAATTGAGTGTGAATGTGTGCTTAAGGAGAAATATATCTTATTTCCTTGCCATATTCCTGTTATATGAGGATATATATTGAAAATATTAATCTGTAGTTAAATAAAATTCCTTTAATTTTCTAAAGTGATTTGTACCAATTTAAATTGGATTCTGGACTAAGATAGGCCAAAGTTTGCATCTTGGCTCCACTACTTTCTATGTGACTGGGCAAGTTTCTTAACCCTTCCCAGCACTTTTATCAGTAAAATACCCACCTCTAGAAGTACTGTGAGATTTAAATGAGATAATGAAATGAATATCAAGCAACTGGCACATAGTAGTTAAAATGCAGATTCTTCTTAAAATCTGGGGTGGAAAGGCAAGTTCTCAGCAGGGGGTTGAACCAGAATGAACGAGTTCGAAGTCCTGGAATAAACTCACTGGAAGATCCAGGTCTCAACGGAGTAAATCAGGGGCACATGTACTTCTCCGCTTGTGACTCTTTACTCATTCACATACCCAACACATATTTAATAGTTAGCAACTACTCTGTGGCAGTTGTATGTATTATTGTTGGAGGACAAATAGAAGGATATGGTCCTAAGCCCATGAAGTTTACACAGTCTAGTGAGGAAGACAAACAATTATTTGTATTACACTCCTTGTCATTAGCTCTTTTATGCCCCATAATGTTCTGGACCATCTTCTTACAAAAAATATATTGTAGGAATATATGATGGAATTGTGTTAGGAAGGACAAACACATCACAGATCAACAAACATTTGTTGACTGAATACACAAATCTTTATACCATAGCACCTAAATTAGGTAAACAAGGCAATAGAAAGGCTGGATATGTTCAGTGTTTGCTTAGAAACTAAACACACCACAGTGATTTCAATACATTCAGCAATCAGTTCAACAGGTTTTTGGTTTGTTTTTAATAGTATGACTCAAGGGGACTTGGGGACAACTCCATGAGAGCCAAAGTATGACCTCGCCTATATCCCATCTGAATTAGAGACCATTGCGAGAATAGATTTGACGCATTGAACACTAATGACTGAATACCAGACGAGTTGTAGAATGACATCAAGGACATCATACATGAAGAAAGAAAGAGGTCATTAAAAAGACAGGAAAGAAAGAAAAGGCCAAAATGGATGTCAGAAGAGACTCTGAATGATGCTCTTGAACATCGAGCAGCTAAAGCGAAAGGAAGAAATGATGAAGTAAAAGAGGTGAACAGAAGATTTCAAAGAGTAGCTTGAGAAAACCAAGTAAAGTACTATAACGAAACGTGCAAAGACCTGGAGTTAGAAAACCAAAAGGGAAGAACATGCTCGGCATTTCTCAAGTTGAAAGAACTGAAGGAAAAATTCAAGCCTCTGGCTGCGATATTGAAGGATTCCACGGTGAAAATATTACATGACCCAGGAAGCAACAAAATAAGATAGAAGGAATACACAGTGTCACTACACCAAAGAATTGGTCAATGTTCAACCATTTCAGGAGGTAGCATATGATCAAGAACTGATGGTATTGAAGGAAGAAGTCCAACCTGCACTGAAGGCACTGGCGAAAAACAAGCCTCCAGGAACTGGAGAATACCAATTGAGATGTTTCAACAAACGGATGCAGTGCTGGAGGTGCTCACTTACCTACGCCAAGGACTTTGGAAGACAGCTACCTGGCCAACCAACTGGAAGAGATCTATATTTGTGCCCTTTCCAAAGAAAGGTGATCCAACAGAATGCAGAAATTATCGAACAGTATCATTAATATCACACCCAAGTAAAATTTTGCTGAAGATCATTCAAAAGGAGCTACAGCAGTACATCAACAGGGAACTACCAGAAATTCAAGCCGGATTCAGAAGAGGATGTGGAACCAGGGATATCATTGCTGATATCAGGTGGATCCTGGCTGAAAGCAGAGAATACCAGAAAGATGTTTACCCCTGTTTTACTGATTATGCAAAGGCATTCGACTGTGTGGATCATAACAAATTATGGGTACTGTTGCGAAGAATGGGAATTCCAGAACACTTAACTGTGCTCACAAGGAACCTGTACATAGACCAAGAGTCAGTTGTTCGAACAGAACAAGGGAATACTGTGTGGTTTAAAGTCAAGAAAGCTGTACATCAGGGTTATATACTTTCACCATACTTAGTCTGTATGCTGAGTCAATAATCCAAGAAGCTGGACGCGGCATATGAAGAAGAATGTGGCATCAGGATTGAAGGAAGACTCATTAACAACCTGCGATATACAGATGACACAACCTTGCTTGCTGAAAGTGAAGAGGAC